GCAGAAAAGTTTGATGAGTTATTCGCGACTGAGGCAGTATGATGTACATGATCTGCACCTTTTTCCCTAAAATCAAGCCTTTTATTCTTACTCCCTAGTTTCACCACAGCGCTTCATTCTCATTTTCCTGGAATTTCTCCTCATATATGGTGCAAAGTGTCCCCCACAGTTGGTGTGTAAGAAATGTCTTCCAGAGGACTTCTGTAAGATCACAGCTAGCATTGGCTGGAGCTCGGTTCTGGCATCTCAACTCCGTGTTTGTTTTCACTGCATCCACCTCTCAGAAAAGCTTTGTGAACATGTGAAGACTCAAATATACACCTACTTCCTCTACAGAAAATCTGTTAAGGAGAGCTGCATAAATTTTGTACTGCCATATCTCCTTTCCTAGTCTTTTCCTACATATAGAGGTAAAAAACAGACTTTAATGACATTTTATAGACTTTTTAGTTTGCAATTAGAGTCTCTTTATTTATTAGCATACTTTTCAGAGCTTATTTAGTAAAAGCTGATTAATGCTCTTGGTAATGTATTTATTATAATAGTGCTTTCTGTTTGGTAAAGGATTCAGTTCACAATTCTCAACTAATGAATAAGATAAATGTACCCTAATCTCTTGTAACTGCTAATTCTATATTTCCATCACTGTATTATGTGTTAGTTTTGAAAGTAAATTAGATTACACATCAAGAATATTGATGCAAGTATAATACTACACATTAAGTAATCTATTACATTAGCAGTCTGTCTCTGGAATAGGAGAGGAAATAAACCCCCCAAAAAATGCCTTGTTTCAAATTGCCTGTATTATATATATATAATTAAAAAAAATTAAAATACATGTCCAAATTAAAAGTAGTAGATGATAATTTCAGTTGCCATTTTGATTACACAAATTAATTCTAGGGATAGAAAATAACAATTATGAAAACATTGTAAACAATTATGTCTATTATGCAAACACATACACTTTTATTCAGTAAATTGTAGGCTTACCATATGCTATCTTATTTTATACATTGAAAGGCAATCAATGTAGTTTCTCTTGTATTCAGCACAATTCCAAGTGATTAGGCACCCTCTTTTTAATAGGAACAACATTGACTTTATATGTAATAGAAGACTATTTTTACATAAATCAAATTTTGAATTGAGAAACATGAAGTTCTATACTACACCAAGACAAATATTACCAATAGATTCCTCTCAATTATTCCATAAGTCGAGGAAATTGCTGTACAGCTACATCATTGGTTCTTAACAGATGTAAGCAAGACTGTTCTACTTATAAGCACAGCACTTCAGACTGCAGTTTCAACACTCTTCAAACCATACAGAATCCAAAATTTGTTTTTAAACACAAATAAAATAAAATCTCACTCAAATGTTTTGCTCTGAGACCTAGTTCTCTTGCATTTCTTCTAAGATGAAGCCATGAAACATCAACATTTCTAAATACTTTAATCTCTTTTCACTTGGGACCTCTCCAGAATTTATTAAATGGAAATACCTCATTTTGATAAAAACTATTGAGTTCACACATCACTCATCATTTTGTTGGCACAGAATCAGCTGCTGTTTGTACTTTTCCTATAGAGGACTATAATTTCAATAATATATGGTGAAGTTTAACGTCAGTAAAGTTATGAAGGATGCCAGAATGTCTCCTAACACTGTCTCAAAATTCCACTTTCACAGCCCTGTAACTTCATGCCACATTTGGCATCCTAGCAAGGGTTCTTAGGTGACATGGAGCGCATGTTGGCACAAAGCAAGTGCAGTTCATGCAGCATCAGCTGCCCCCAGCACCACCTGCTACGTTTACATGTGCAGGACCCTCTGGAGTGCGGCACCTCGGAGCAACGCTCTGCAGAGACTCGCGAGGGCTCTGATTTCTATCCAAACACAGTTACACCTCTCTGCAGGCATTACTGCACTGGTCACTCTCAAGTTGTGCTGTTACTTCCTTTTTTCATCTCTTTTAACAGATTCCACCTATTGTAATTGCATTCCCAAAGACAGGATGGGACTCAGTCCCTGAGAGTGCGCTGGACCCATACGGGTGACCCAACATACACACATGTGATGTTTTAGTATATATGATCCATGGGGTGCCCCAAATTCTGATAACATGCATTAAACTGCTTTGGCTTTTGGCTATAATCAGCCTACAAAGACAATAGGTTTTGGCTAACTAAAGAAAAGACAAAATATTTACCTCACTGAAGAGAAATGTCAGCTAAATAAGGGCAATGAAGGCACCCAGGTGTCTGCCTGCCAGAGGCAGTGCGTGTAAATCAAAAGGGATGCCTAAGATGGCATGATAAGAGGATGACAAAGATTTAACTCATTAATGAAATATAACTAAGAATTAGGTCTGCATCTCTACAGAAGTCTGATCAGTTCCCTCAGGGCTGACCAGCAGGAAAAAAATTTCATTCCAGATATGAATAGCTAAGCATGTTAAGAATTACATTTTGCATTCTACCTTCCTCAGCAAAGAAAGCCATCTTTTCCACAAGGAAAAATGCTTGTGGAATCAGGACCTGAACATTACAGCATAAACTCATTCTAACCCATCAAATTTTAGATTCAGAATTGATAGTTTGACTCAAGAATGCAGAGTATACATTTAGCTGGATTTGGAGCTCAGGAAATGTACAGGAACCTGAAATAAAATAAATTCTAATTTATCTTGCTACTCTACTCTTTAGAATCTTGCCATTACTGAAGTCTTAAGTAAAAGCTACCTTATGAAAAATTACTTTTGTGTTATGCTCTTTACCCATAAAACAACTGTTCCTACCTGAAAAGGAATACAGACCAGAATAAAAAATACATTTCTGTATCTATTTTCAGTGTCAACTTCTTAGCACTATGAAATAACAGGAAACAATATAAATATTATTTGAAAAGGCATTTTAGACTGACCTTATAAGGCATGTATTGTAAGTCTGATACACAGTCCTGAAAACAGTTATGATGACCTACTTTCAGAAAAACTTCTGGCATAGATTTAGTTATAAAATATGAATGAAGAAAACCACTGAAGTAAAACTGTACTTTACAAAACACTTGAAAAAAACTTCAGAGATACAGATAGACATTTCTACACTGATTTCCATATGATCACAACTTTCTATAGAAGTAGTGTTATCTTCTGATATTGGTATGCTTTTTCAAGCCTGATATGTAAGGAGATACTTAGCCAGCCCCTATAATATCTTCAGAAAGTAACTAAGAAACTTTTATACTTAATCCAGTTTCTACATGGTACCAGTGCCCTGACACCTGAATATCTCCTGCCTCTCAGTTCCAGAAAACTGTACTTACAAGACACCTACAGGAAATTAGTGTTTTGGTTTCCAAACCATGATTCCTTGTGCAGGCACCCACCATCTGAGAAAAGGGACATGATGAGACAAGCCAGAGAAATTTATAAATTAATTAATAACCTTATTTGCAAGTTGTATCCTCTGGTATCAATGTACAATGTTATTGTCCAACACTTTCTGTAAGATGCAACAATGGATGGAACCAGAACACTTTGGGTTGGAAGGGACCTTAAACACCTTCAGCTACAGCCCCCCTGCAGGAGGGGCAGAGACTCCTTCCACTTGGGTTGCTCAGAGCCCCATCTCACTTGCCTCGAACATTTCCAGGGATGAGGCATCCAAAGAGCAACCTCTTCTGGTGTCTCACTATTCTCATTGTGAGGGATCTGAAGACATGCAAGGTATTTCTTCATGGTGTGATGTCACCCTCATCAATCCAACAAGCCATCACATTGTGTCACTGTAGACACAGCACCATGCACACAGCTCATCCAGGGCCTGACATGCAGCCACTGCTCACTACAACCAGCAATGCTTATGTGACCCAGCTGTTAAGAGGTGCTTGTGCTGTCCTGTAGCAGCAGCCACATGTGGCCACCAAACTGGGCCCCTTGGAGATGCTTGTCCAGTAGAGCAGCAGGAGCAGGTGTGCAGTACCAGCTCTACAAAACCACCCTTTCCCTTACCTGTACCCCCGTACCCAACCAACACGAGGGGCTTTTGCAGGAGATGGCAGCAGGAGCTGCTCTGGCTGCTCTGGTTGGGGCCAGGTCCAGGCCAGCCCTGAGCACAGCCAGTCTGGGGAGCAGCCAAGGGACAGGGGCTGCCAGCCAGAGCCATGCCATCTTTTATACGAATGCACTAATGTTATTCAAACACAAGTAACTTTTTTCCAAGTAAAATACACTTGTCCTATGCAGTGTCATCATTTGAGATTGAGCTTTTCAGAGTGCATTATATGGATTTTCCCCAGAATAGGAAGAAATAGAAAAAAAAGTGTGAGATTTTAAATGCTTTAGACATCAAAGTAGAAAAACTCTCCATTTTCCTAGGCAGCACATTGAAGTATCCAATTTGAATTGAGAGAAACAGAAATTAAGAAAATTTCTATGGATGGCAAATACACTTGTAGGCTGAAAAGAAAGTAATTAAAACACAATAAAACATTTGCACTGAAGTAGCATAACATATAATTTTGTGCAGGAAAATTGCTTTGTTTCAAAATAAGTTTGCATGTATAAAGGTGGAAAAACCCTCATGTTGAAATACACAAACACTATCTGTGACAAAACCAAAGGCATCTTGCAGCATTTCAGCAACCATTCAGAAACTTCAGTAAGGAATCAATCCCCTCAAATGAAAGTACAGCTCATGTTGGTTCCTGAAAAGCTGAAAAGTAAGGAATTAGTGTATTAAGCAGGTTCCGGCAAGCAGAAGATAAAAGCTTCAGTCCAACCTGAAAAGGATCTTTGCTTAAAAAAAAAAAAAAAAGTTTAGAAAATGTTCAGAGGAAAAAGTTAATTGACCATTTTCTTCATTCCATAGAATATTGCTGATGAGGCAACTTCAACAGGATCTTCAAATGATTAAACTGTAAGTACATAAGTATTACGTACATTTGACTGATAATTTGAGAGATAGAAAAATTTGAGAGACAGTTCCTACCAGTTTGGCTGAGTTGTGACGTGCTACGGCTCTTTCTCGACAGCCCCACGATGGCGACCATCTTTGCACCAATGCTGGAGCGTCTCTTTTTGCTGCCACCACCAACAGTGCCCACTGCCGTGTCCGACTGGCTGCCGTCGTTCTTCTCCAGCGTGTACATCTCCCCGCTGATGCTGGTGCTCTTAGTCATGTTCTTTCCTGAGATGGCCATCTGTCTGCTTTGCATTTTGGATGTAAAGACACTGTCAGCCAGTTGACGGATAAACAGTGCAGACAAAGAGTAAAAAGGGGAAGACAGAAAAGGACAGGTTTCAGATGGAAGGTTTTGGGAGACTAGAGGGTAAAAGCAGCTAATCACACAGGTAGGGTTTGGTTTTAAGAGGTAAAAGGAGAAACTTTAATTCTAGGGTCTTGGTTGGTCTGCTGTAAAAATACTTGACTCATCAAAATTGTGTTTTAAATAACATGCTCTTATTTACTGATTGACTTAAAACTTATTACCAGCAAAAGCAGACCAAAGAATTAATGCATCCATATTTCATATAAACACTTATTTGGAAAATTTAAGTTCTGCCCTCAGTGCTGTACACTCTTCTTCTCACATATATACACACAAATAACCTATATTCACTACTGAGTGGAAAAGAACATCAGTTTGAAGCCCAGTTTTGGTTACTATACATTCAGATATTTCAAGGATGTTCTCAGTAATCTGGTTTAGCTCAGTCATCATACAGTAATGAACATGCATCAACAGAGGAACAACCTCTGCATCAACAAATTCAGGTACTAGATATGTATTTCACACAACACTTGACTATTATGTGGCATAGATCATCAGTACTGATAAAATGGAATTGAATTCTAATGTATCTTCTGTAATAGTTTGGAGACTCTGTAAATGTGCTCTATGCATCTAAACTATCTGCTGCAGCATTTCAGGTGTGCCAAGGGAACCTGATCTGCCAGTGGTCCAGGCTAAGAGACCTTTCCTTTCCTCAGAAATGGCAATCTACACTGATGACAACAGCACTTATCCAACTTTTGCTCTGACATCTAAATGGTACGTGTCTGAAAAATTAACCAGAACTGGAAGCTTGGGGGTACATGTGAGCCTGAAAATTTATAGAGAATTTTCTATTTCAATGAAGTTCTTGCACAGAACTTAGACCTTTATTATTCTTTTCAGTACAGTACTTCATACAAAAAAGTTCCCATGAGATGCCATTTTAAACAATCCACAAAACTGTGGAATATTTCTGGAACCCAGGGGAAATGATTTTTTTGTTAAATCACCAATATATGAAGGCTAAAATGAACATTTTTGCTTCTTAAACAGATTTTCAAATACATACAAAAGCTGTTGCTAGAGCTTTAGTGCTCAGCAAATGTCTCTAGAGCAAATTTTTCTGAGTATAGAAAAAATATATACTCCTTTTCCCTTACCTATCGGTAAAGCCTGAAATCGATTTCAGAAAAGGACGGCATTATTGTTTCTTTATGAAGATTTTGCAATACATATTCTGTCAATAACTTAACTATGGAATTAACGCAGTGCACTCAAAAGCAAATGAAGACTTGTAGCTTAGCCACAACCTAGAGGGAAAGATAAGCTGGTTCATAAAGAAGTAGACCTTTACCACTGAAAAATACTGAGTGTACTTCTCAGGGAAGTTACAAGGAAAAATATGAATGAGAGTTTGGATCAGCAGATGGAGAAGCACAAAACAAAACTCAGAGAGCCATAGTGGCCTTGCCTGGACACACAATCACAAAAGACTGAACACAGTGGTAACCTGAAAGTTTTTTCTTTCAGCTCTCTTTGTTGTTATGTGTTAGTGCACACTGACCCTCAATAGTATGTTTATCACCAAGGGAGGAGTGAGATAGGATGTGGGTAAAGGGGAAGGCAGGGAAACAGTAAAAGAGAATTTGTATTTCTGTGTCTTATTAGCATTATGTTAACTTACATGTTAGATGATAACATCACATGCTGTATTTTTTATTAAACTAAAGCCTCTAAAATTCAGTCAAAGAAAACAGATGACACAGAAACCAGTTCTCAGTTTCAATGTTATCTTGCATGTAAAAAATACTAGAGGTCTAGGAAAAACATGGCTGTGAAGAGCTAGTATCTTCAACTTTATCTTAAGCAAAGTTATACTAAGAATCAGAAAATTAGAGCCCCTTTCCAGTAATGCTATTTTTAGTCCAAGTTCTCAAAGGAAATATGATTGATGTGTGCTTTCAGTCAAGTGTCTTTCTTCTCAGTATTTTTAAAATCAGATCAAATTTGACAGAGCAGTAGGAAACTAAAGCTATTTAGTTTCTAAAACTGCTTGGAAAACAGATTCCTGCCAAGAGATCTTATGCATGCCTCATAGGGGAAAGACTGCAGGAGAAGTCATAGACTCTCTCCTAGTGGAAGCTCATTTGCAGATACAGACTGGTGGGGGAAGTAAGGTTTTCAGTGCTTGCACCACAACCTATTTCAGTGATCTATTTTTTCAAAAATAATACCCAGAAAATCAGTGAGTTCCTATCATATAGAAAACAGTAATTAATGCATTGTTTTATAAGTGATATTACCATTCAATAAAGGTCCTATGTCATCAGTGAAAACAGAAATATTTTGCATTTTAATATAAAAATTACACGGAAGAGAAAGTCACCATTTCCTGAGTGAATGTGCCTTTGAGACGCCTTTTTTGTGTCCTTTCCAAGATGTATAGTTCTATTTAAGTGGAATGCATTACAATACTTGCCCTTATTAAAGAAATCAGTGTCCTTAAAGAGGCTGATCCCTATAGTTTCACTGTGCAGTTATCTAGGAAAGTGTTATGAATTACTAAAGTTTCCTTCTTGGCTGCTGTCTAAAGGCTTCTGTACCACAAAATGTTTTGCTCTGTACTCCTGCCAGTAATGATGTAGACTTCAGTAGACACCTTCCCTTGGCCAACTTTTTGAGAAAGGTAGGAAAGGGAATTCAAATGAGAAGAAAGGAAAGGATTTAGATTTAAGTGGATATACCAAATACTATACAAATGGCTGATACTAAAAATTCATTCACAAACCTCTATTTTTTTTTTTTCCCAGTAGAGCTCTAAACTATTTTCTCCAATTAAAGGCTTGGGAGTTTTCCACTTCTCTAAAAGTAGCAGATAAGACATCTTTGCTACAGTCCTAACCAGCAAACAGCCCTTGGAGAAACCCATCCCATAGCAGGGACTCTGGTTTTTTGCAATTCCTCTCTTAGCAAAATAACCTTTGAGAAATACATACTTGGAGAGTTATGAGTGGTTTATAGTGCCTCAAAATAAATCCAGAGTGGTCATGAGCACTTCCTTCATCAGCACTCTGAACCCTTTCTGGCCATCCAGACCCTCATTCACTAATTTTTCTTGGCAGATACTTGATACCCTCTCCAGTAGAAACCAACCTTCTACCCAGCCTGCCTTTTGGCAGTGCCACAAATGGATCATTCTCAGAAAAAGTGGGTATTGTATGTCAGATGTGGTTCCTTCCTGAGCTAATAGAAAGGTTGACCTAGAGTAAAATTTAGAGAGTAAACCATACAACCTTTTTCCTTAAAAGGAAACAGAAACTACTGGAAGTTTTCTGTATATGTACATATAAACAAATCTAATCTCACACACATCCAGTTTAATATGTTCAACAGTACTTTAAAACAGACATTATATAAAAGCAATTTATGAAATTGTATGAGTCAATTAATAGATATGCAGTAAAAATAGGGTTCTCAAGGTGTCTTATAAGATAATAATAATTTTTAATATATCCTCACCAAAGAGAATATACAGCCAGATGCAGGGGGGGAAGAATAAAATAAAGGGGTAAATAAAGTCCAAAAATCCTAGTCCAAATAATATGTGCATAATGACATAATAATACCATTATTAGAACCAAAACAAGAACAAAATCAGCACATAACCCCAGCTATGTGGCAGCCCACAGCCTACAGCAAGAGCAGAGTGAAGGTGGCAGCCAGGCTCTTTCCTTTGGCTTGACAGGACCAAACTATCAACAAAAGCAGGATGAAGGGCAAAGCTCACACAGGAACATTGCTTCCTGCACTATCCCAAAATCCAGGAAACCTCTTGAGGAAATCAAGAGCTGCAGGCAGGTCTTACTGTAATTATCTTTTCAGACACTTCAGTTTTCCAGTGAAAAAAGGAAAAGGAAAGATGCATAAATTTTAGAGGAATACATTCTCAAAGATAAAGCAGAAGGTCCTTTAAAAAAACCACAGGAGAAAAATAAGTCATTAGAAAAGAAATTACACTAAGATATCTATATGTATTTGTAATTTAAAGCCAATGGTGGAGTATGAGAACCCTAGCCACAAAACAGTATTCTTAAAAATATACTATGTTAGCCAGCTGAGGAGAGTCAGACTGACAGAGACCTGTGATGTTAAAGGTATTCTAAAGTTTGCTGATGATATTAGATTAGGAGAAGCTCCTGACTCCCTTGAATGCAGAAAGGCTCAGCAGAGAGACTTTGACAAATCAGAGGTCTCAGAAATCACCAACCATATGAAGTTTAGCAAAGTGCTGGATTCTGCATGGGATGGGGATTGTACATACAGACTGGGAAACAAGAGTCTGGAGACTGGCACCACAAAAAGGGACCTGGGGGTCACAGGCAAGTTGACCATGAGTCAGCAGAGCCTTGGCAGCCAGGAGGGCCAAGCGTGTCCTGGGGGACATCAGGCACAGCATCACCAGCCAGGCAAGGGAGGGGATTGTCCTGCTCTGCTCTGCACTGCAGGGCCTCACCTCAAGTGCTGGGGGCAAATTTGGGCACCACAAAATAAGAAGGATATAAAGGCATTAGAGGGCACCCAAATTATGGCAACAAACACGGTGAAGGGCCTTGAGAAGAAGCCATATGAGAAGCAGATCAGGTTACTTGGTGTGTTCACTCCAGAGAAGAGGAGACTGAGAGGAAACCTCATTGCAATCTGGAGCTTCCTTGCAAGGGGAAGAGGAGGGGAAAACACTGATCTTTTCTCTGTGGTCCCTCAGTAACAGGACCTGAGGGAATGGCCTGAAGCTGTGTCAGGGGAGGTTTAGGTTGGATATTATAAAAATGTTCTTCACCCAGAGGTTGGTTGGGCACTGGAACAGCTCCCCAGGGAAATGGTCATAGCACCAAGCCCAACAGAGCTCAAGAAGTGTTTGGACAATGCTCTCAGACACATGGTGTGATTCTTGGAGCT